TAATAGAGTGGACAAAAAAATATATTGACCTACATCTAAAAAAAAAAAAAAAAACTTCATAGACTTTTGAAGGAAATAAAATGAGAATTTGAGTAATTCTTGAAAATTTACTGTTCTTAAAAATATATATAGACATGATTATCAGCATTCCGCTCCAAACATTCCCTTTCTGGAAAATCTCAAAGCTTAACGACATTCATCACCATCACTCTAAAACGTATTGGATTTTCCAGAGCTACTCTCTAAAGTAAAACTCTTCAGACTTGACGTCACAAATGCGTGATGGGGTTTTCAGAGGGCAGAGGACACAAGGCACAACACTACTGTATGAAACGAGACCCTCGTGAGGTTAAAAGCTTTTACAGGCAAAGACTCAAAGCCAGACTGCATATGAAGTCAATACATGTGCAAATAAAGTATGACACCAACTACAGAAAAATCACTGCTAAAATAATACAATCATTCTCATTTAACCTCAAGGATAGCAATTATTTAAAGTTATGAAGTAAAATGTTCATATTTTCCTAAACTGTATGCAAGCACTAGACCAAAGACATTCAGCAGAAAGCCATCGCTCTTAAAACACATTAAGAAATCACAGAAGAAACAGCAGAGCTCAGCTCAAGTGACAGCTCAGCTTTATGCTCTCCAATGATAATCATCATATTTCAGTGTAACATCAAAAAAAATTAATGAGCTCTTCATCACGGACCACTAACAGGACTCTACATCTGTGAACAGTCTCTATGTTTGTTAACTTAAATGCATACAACGTTGACTGTTTATTATCCAACAAGGAACAGTAAAGAAACCTACAAACAACACAAGCAGTACATTCTCAATTTCCTGAATATTTGATGCACCTTTAAAAAAGAAAACAATATGTGTGACCCTGCAGCACAAAAGCAGTGTTAAGTCGCTGGGGGATATTTGTAGCAATAGCCAACAATACATTGTATGGGTCACAATTATACATTTTTCTTTTATGCCAAAAAATATTAGGATATTAAGTAAAGATCATGTTCCAATGAAGATATTTTGTAAATTTCCTTATGTAAATATACCAAAACTTATTTTTTGATTAGTAATATGCATTGCTAAGAACTTCATTTGGACAACTTTAAAGATGATTTTCTCAATATTTGGATTTTTTTTTGCACCCTCAGATTCCAGATTTTCAAATAGTTGTATCTCAGCCA